AACAGATCTTATTGAACAGTTGCTAAAGGTGCAGGTAATTCTAAATTTATTTTCTTTACCTTTTAGGTATACTTCTCCAGATTTCCTTTATATCCGATCCTGGCTGCCATGTATATTTTTCTCAGGAGGTGTGACTGTAGGAAACATAGGACGGCAGTTGGCCATGGTAATTATCGTACAGTCTGTATTTAATAGCTGTTAAAAGAGAGTTCATGAGAAGTTGGTCCTTAATTATCACCTAATTATCATCTCATTTGATGACTGTTAAAAGAATAATAGATTTCTTTGAAACACATTAGATTGCACATCATGTCCTTTGGTGTATGCAAGCAAAAAGTTCTGGGCTGCATTTCAGTAAGTTGAATAAGAGAGGTAAACACCTATGTTGCCAACTCTTCTTCTGTATTGTTGCAACATTAAGGGCTGGGATGCTAGCTGTGTCGTTAGTATTAGAAAAGCATAGCCACAGCCATTCTCATAATTGTTTACATGTCATATAAATGAAATGAATATCTGTACACTAGCATGTTTGAAGATAGTACTGCTAGTAGTGTTATTCATGGCTTTTGGAGAAAGCAGTTGTCCATGTAAATAAAACAAGTGTATGGTAACACATGTTGGGAGAAACTTGGGACAGTATACCTAGTATAGAATGACTTGTCGACATCTTTTAGAAATTGAACTTTTCGATCTACCGTAATAATCATAATCACGTCACGAAAGGCAGCAAATGCTAGTTCCTTGAGTATGGAAAAAGCTGCACTCCGTCCATCTGTCAACTAGCATGTTGGGGTGCAAGTATTGTGTAGCTTGAACTGAATTGCCTTGTTCTATTGCAGAAAAAAAATGAACTTATGGTGTTTTATTTTAAAAGACCATACTCAACTGTAACGCAGTAAATACACCTTCAGTTTTTAAAAACTACAGTGGTTTTTTCTTCTTTTTCCCCACAGGGTGTTCCTGAGAAGCCTCATAGTGACTAAATACGTGGCTCTACAGTGCCTGTGAAGAGGCAGAACTAAGACCAGTTCTTGAGTATAAACTTGGATTTTTCTTCTTGAGAAACATGAGTGAGCTCCCTATGTAAATTACTGGTGAAGAAAAATTAATTCACCTTTGAGTGGCCAAGAGCTTGCCGCAACATTTTTTGGAGAAGTCCCTGGGCTTGGCTTGAATGCAGAAGAATCCAGCAAAGACTAAATGCATAGCAAGCCCACGCTTGGTGACAGTTCTTGTGAAGTCCTGGTTTTCAGCTGAAGGTCATTGAAACAGCTGCCATATTTCAAAGCCTTGAAACAAAACATAGTTACAAGCTTTGCACAAGTGCCCAAAGAAAGCTGAGTGGTGTCGAGAGGTGGGTTTAATAGGAATAGTATTCATCCAGATGTTTTTCAACATAGGGTTGCCTTTAAGACAAAACCAAAAGAAGGTGATCAGAATAAGAGTATAATCCTTCAGGTGTTTGGTGAAGAAATAATAGACTATGGGCAGAGTCCACTCAGTTCTTTGCAGGCTCCAGTGAAGTCAGACGGAGAGATGCAAGGACCCTATCCATTTCACAGAAGTTTTCATGGGAGTACTTAGTTGGCGTGTTAGATGTCCTTTTTTGAGTATATAATCAGTGGAAATGGAAACAGACTAGTTTGTAGACAGAGAAGCAAGAAGTCTATAAATTGCTCCTCTGTTATGGTCACACGGAGATTGATGATCCTCTGCTTCTGCTCTGCTGTTGGATACACACAGTTGAGAGGAAGTTGTGTTCATTAATGTGTGTCATCACATATCTGTTAAGTAGACGGGCAGCCTGTTCCCAGAGTGGTAGGCCAGCTGAAAAAGGGATGTTATGTGACGCCTTATGAGTTTCCTGGGAGTCAGTCTGCTTTCTGAGCCCGAACAAGTATTGTCATGAGAGGACCACCAATGATACTGAATGCTTCTTGTAAATGAACTTGTTTCACAGAATATTTTTGAAGAGATCAGTTTGTGTTTCTGTTTGGGGTTGGTGTGGGTTTTTTTGCAATCCCATAGAACTTGCAATCTGTGATTGCCTTGTAAGGAAGAGTGCTTTTGTCACTACATTAAGCATTTGGGTGTTTCTAAGTAGTTTTGTGGTGAGCACAATAGTCATTTGAACAGTATAGGCCACAACTGACCTAATGAACCAGTATTAGGTCTCATAATTTAAAGTGCAATGTACAATTGAGACAAATCTGAGCCATGTAGTCTTCTCTTTAATATCTCCATTGAACAATTAATATGAAAGATAAGACTTTCAAACTCACTTCAGTGCTGCATGGAGGCAAAGCAAAATTGGCAATAAGTAGTACATGATATTTTATACCTTCTACTCTTCTGAAAGGAATATTCTAGACTTTACATTCTGTGCTACTGCTCCATATTAAGCAATGGTTTTCCCCTTTCAGTTTCATATGGTTTACCCTGACAGTCGCTTATGTTTAAATTGAATGTAAAGAACTTACCCCAGTTTTTATTCAAAGAAATGTCCTAAAAAGTGTGTCTCAAATTAGCAGAACTCCAGTATACTTTCTAAATAATTTCTGCCCCCTCCGCCTTTTTAGCTTCCTCAGCCTACTGACACCTCTTTGCTATTGGGGGGCGGGGGGCGGCGGCAAAGTGTCCTTGTACTGTCGTCGGGGTGCAGCCTGCTGCTGTAAGTATAAGGTCCTGTGCATTGCTGTGGATACAAGAGTCTCCTCTAATGAGCTTGAACAATGACAGTGAAGAAGAAAGCTCATCCTGAGGGCTGGTGGGATCAGATTTTGAGAGCCACACATGCTGATGGGGATAGGTAAGGATATTTTCTAGGCCCTTGATTTAGCTAGGAAAACAGTATATGGTAATTTGAATTTTTTGAATATTGGGTGAGGATCATTTTCAAGGAAAGCTCTGCAGAGCTTGTGTAGGCAACTTCCTGTCTCCTGTTTTCTCGAATGAAGAGAGGTGGTCAGGAAACCTGTAAGCAGTGAGAACATTTGACTGCTCTGAAGGAGCTTAGTCTGTGGTTATTACTGAATGATAAAATAATTGTTGCAACCTAAAAGTCTCATTTTTCATATTTCATTGGTTTTTAAAGGTATATCGATACCCTTTAAATATTGTAGTTTCAATCGTATTAACATGGGTGAGTGCGCCCTTATGGACATCTGTAATGCAGGAATCACTGTATCCACTAAATTTAGTTGATGGATGATAACCATCACACTGGATGCAGAGAACTACTTTCCTACATCAGCAAACTTAAATGATTAGATGTAACTAGAGAGGACAACTGTAAACTGTAAATATGTAATCATGAAATCAGTAAGTATTTTACTTGTAAAAGTTTATTTGTAAATCTGTGTTTCGAGAAGACAGCCAAAATGTATGTTAGAAGTTCAATCTTGCCAATACTTGTAAGTATCTGAACCAAAGTGATCAGAGTTTGTGTTACGAATAAAAGTGAGGGTGGGGAGGGTGTCTTGCACTATTGATTGGAATCTTCAATTCTCAGACTATAGGTTTTTCCACTGTGTGTTTTTTTTTAAAAAAATTAAAGATTTAAAAAAAACCCTGGCTCATGTTTTTTTCTAGACATACTTCTCTTGAATAATATAAGAAGTTATCTGATCAATACAAATCTTCATTACTGATTTGTCTGGATGTTATATTGTAGGTAGACTGTGCAAATGGACCCAGAACCTAAATCCCCAGTTTGCTATTTTACAGCCTATGTTCTCTGTACAAATGGAAACACTTCATTGTTAGTGACATGCATTTTTCTCCCAGAAGCCTGAGAACAATCTACACACCTGATATCCTGTTGCTTCTTGTCTGAAGAAGATTTCCCAAATCTTCACTGTCTATACAGGCTCCAAAAATTATGAGGTTTTCCTTTTTCTGAAATCCATCAGTGTAACCACTGCCTCTAGCATCTTCCCCGTGATTAAAGTGATCGCTCAGGAGCTGGAGAATGGTAACAGATACTGAGCTCACTGAGCTGTCCAGCCAGCAAGCCTTAAATGGGGAGGATCTGGTGATTATTCTTCCCTTAGCTTACCTATTTATGCTAGGTTATAGTGGCATTTAGGAACGTGGTGTGCTGCGGGTTAAACAACAGGGGCCTCTGTGCTCCAAGTTCAGAAGACCAGACGTCATAAGATCGAATCTATGCGACGGAGTGAGCTCCCGTCACTTGTCCCAGCTCCTGCCAACCTAGCTGTTTGAAAGCATGTAAATGCGAGTAGATAAATAGGTACCACCATGGTGGGAAGGTCATGGCGTTCTGTGTCTAGTCGCGCTGGCTACGTGACCACAGAAACTGTCTACGGACAAATGCTGGCTCTACGGCTTGGAGACGGGAATGAGCACCGCCCCCCTAGAGTTGGACACGACGACTAAATGTCAACGGGAACCTTTACCGAGTGGCATTTACCAACTGCTGCTAGAACGCTCCAGTGGTTCTGTATGGACTCTATGAAGTAGTAAGCAGGCTGCCATTCAGCCTTTAGTAGTAACACACCACAATTCCTGACTGCAACACAGATTCTGTGCCCTGCAGCGCCCAAGCTTTTACTGTCTCCTGTACTTGCAGTCAGAACATTTTCTTTTTGCTGCCTGACTTGAGCTGCAAGAGCTCCCTCTGGTGACAAATTCCTTTCCTAGCTTGAAATACAAAGGGAGGGCAAGTGTATGCCGCCTCCCTGGAAGCTAAACTGACAAAACTGAGGGCTTTGTTGAACATGAAAAGACTTGCTGGGGAAGACATGATGCTAAGAAATGCAGAAAGTAGTAGGAAAAGAAGAAGTCAAAATGTGAGACAGATGCAGGATAGCTCAGTGGTTTAGGTCTCTGGCTGCCACAGGCTGGGAGTTCAATTCCCCACTTGTGCCTCCCCTGATGGGCTGGACTGGATGAGCCTTTCCAGCTCTGCGGGTCTGAGACCCACCAACCTTTAGTTTGAAAAAGTGGAGCAGGCCCGTTTGTGCTAGGATGTTTAGAAGTACCTGGTTCATAGGACCGCCACAAGTCAGAAGACTTGATGGCCTTTTATAGCAACAGAGCTTCTTTATTGAAGAACAAAGCAGCACCATTCCCTTCAAAGCATCTTGATCAGCTGTTAGGAAGAGAGACTGGATACTCAAAACTAGGTAAATGTTTTAATTTTTCTAACATTTCCTCTTCAATGGGGAAAACAAGGCAACGAGGATATTCGACTTGGCAAGTCCAGGGTGGTTCTTAGACCTGATGACACAACCACGTTTGTTGTGGTGGAAAGGTGTGCCGGGCTTGGAGCCCTCCTGTGTGAGTAGAATGTGGGCAAGGGAACGGATCCCACTGAAACAAGGCAAGGAATGAAGCAACTGCATCCCCTTTTTACCCCTTCAAGAACAGCCAGGGTAAAGGCACTATCTGTAGCTGAAAACCTTAACCCCATTCCTCCAGGAATACCTGTTCAGATGCTGTGGCTTGTCTTTCCCTGCTGATTTGGTTTCCGTTTTTCTTCTTCTGGAGAATGTGGGGACATCACTCTTCACACATGGAATAGAGCTTGTAGTTTTCTTTTACAGCCAAGGCTCAGATTCGAAACCTGACTTGTGGCTGCAGGCTTTTTCTTGGTACGCCAGTCTTGATTTAGTTCCAAGAAGCTCACAAACTCATTAAAGGTATAACTGAATATCACTGTTATTGTAACTTAAAGAGGGATAACTTCCTTTTGCAGTGTAATTAACTTTAGTTACAAGGAACATGGCCGTATCAATTGGTAGAGGAGGAATATTAAAAAAGAAGGGATATTAAAATTCAGATGCTGTGTTGTGGTCTACTGTGTTGTGGTGCTGAGGTGAGGACAAGATAGACCAGAAAGTATGTTTTCTACCATTGGTGTATAATAGTCAAATAGTTTTTTTCCTAAGATAAAAGTAACTACTTTTGTTACCTCTGAAAAAGAAAACTAACTACTTTTACTTATGAAAAATAGCAAAGAGCTACTTTTTGCAACTATAAAAATAACTATTTTGGGAGGGGGGTTGGAACTAGGACTGTAACTGATTGCTTTATAAAAGTAACTTTCCAGCTTCTGCTTTATTGTGAATTCAAATATCTCTTGAGTTCAGCCACATGCAAGTAGCTGAAAATAAACACTTATGTATATACATTAAGTTTTTGCTCCCACTTGCCATCTACAGGTTTTGATTACAGCACTAGGTGGGTCATAGGGAACTCTTCTGTATGGAAGTAATTTAGTACTGCTTTCCAGCTATACAAACAAGCAGCTGAGATAGTGAGCAGACTGGTTTTAGTTGCTGTTTTAAAAAGCAGTTTTGGATAGAAATAAATTAGGTACAGTGGCAACCTGTACTTGATCAGTGGGGCATGAAAGTCTTGTTTTCTAATTTTATTTTATTTTTAAAGAAATATCAGGCCATTAGGATCATTCTAGTCCAGCTGGGATTTTGGTTCCCCTTCTACCAGTTCCCAAACATGCTGTTTGCTGGCTTGCAACATAGAGTTCTACAGCTCACACCAAGGGCTACTGCAGACAATGAAACATGGACTTATCTTTGTTGTGTGTATTACGACCCTGCAATAACACACAACTATCAACACTCTGCTGAAAACAGCTAATATGTTTGGTGTTTTTTCCAGACTCTGGTTGATTAAAACCCCAGGAAATACGCAGAAAACGATGTTAGGAAAGAGCTGTATAGGTTTGGAAGAATAAATCATGAACATTTATGGGACAAAATAATCAGAGAACAGGGCTTTTTTCCCCTAACACTTTCTGAGCTGAAAGAGTTGGTAAATGGGACATGATTCCATTCATTTATACGGCTGTTAGAAGGTGAAAGTGAAAGACAGAGTAGCTTGAAGTCACTAAACATGATGCTTAGAGATGCCAGAATAACCTACAATATCTTGTAAGGGTTCCTCAGCATGCAGAGATTCCTGTTCGGGGGAAACCAGTTGCTTGTAATATCCCCAGGTGTTTGATAAAACCTTGAAACAATTGTGTAAAACGTTTGCGTAAAAGATGCTTTACACTTTTAAAAAAAAGTGGGGCAAGAATCTTAGGTTTCTCTTAAGGGATCCATCGTGCACTTCAAACAAACCAAAGAAAATGTTTTTCCCTTTCTTTTTAAAAGGATGCAGCACCTCAGCAATAGTCTACCTGTGTCTTAAAAAAGAAATTTCACTTCCCTTACCCATCCACCAAGAAGCAGAGATAAATGTTCCCCTTGACATTTAGTCCAGTCGTGTCCGACTCTAGGGCGTGGTGCTCATTCCCATTTCCAAGCCATGGAGCCAGCGTATGGCCGTAGATGGTTTCCGTGGTCATGTGGCCAGCGCGACTAGAAACAGAATGCCATGACCTTCCTACCCTGGTGGTACCAACTTATCGACTCTCATTTTTCCATGCTTTCGAATGGTTAGGTTGGCAGGAAGAAGTAGAGGGAAGGTTCAATTTGCCCCAAGCCATGGAGCCAGCGTATGGCCGTAGATGGTTTCCGTGGTCATGTGGCCAGCGCGACTAGAAACAGAATGCCATGACCTTCCTACCCTGGTGGTACCAACTTGTCGACCCTCATTTTTCCATGCTTTCGAACGGTTAGGTTGGCAGGAAGAAGTACAGGGAAGGTTCAATTTGCCAACATCATGAAGTGGCTTATTTATGAAGCCACTTCACGAAACTGGACATTCCAGTTGGAAGGAATCTTGACAGGAAGGCCTGCTTTTGGTCCCTTCCCAACAATCACACATGCTGGAAACAGACCAGATCTACCTGTATCGAAAAAGTAGAAGCCCCTGACAGGGGCTCAGAAAGATGTGGGTAGGGGTGTTCTGGGGACAGTTTGGTTCACTCCAGTAATTACCCGTATTTTTCGCTCCATAAGACGCACCTTTCCATAAGACGCACCAATTTTTTAGGAGAAGAAAACAGGAAAATATAATCTGTTTTCTTCGCTCCATAAGACGCACAGACTTTCCACCCCCCTGTTTTGTGGGGAAAAAGTGTGTCTTATGGTGTGAAAAATACGGTACATCATGTGACCACCAGAAGAAGAAGAAAGAGTGAGCCCACCCATCTCTGCAGCAGACTAAACTGCAGGTCCAATGCTTATCTGAGTGAGCCCTCTGTTAGGGTTGATTTTCCTGACAACATGAGTAGAAAACTCACCTTCCTGGTAGATATGTGGAAGGCTTTAGTCCTAGTATGCATACATTGGATGGCCATATAAGACATTCTTGAGTTTAATGAAGGAGAAACAGAGTCCACGTGTCAGGGGGGGAAATGAATTACATATTTTTTAAAAATCCCTAGAAAGTTTTTTTCCATTAAAGAAACAGAGAAGCAAATAAGGCCCAGTGGCACCATGCTGAATGGGAGCCCCCGGTTGAGAAACCTCCCTAGTGTTTTTTATTTTATTTTTATTTTATTTTTTTGTTCTGGGTAAGTCACTGTGAGGATTGGTTTTTCCCTTCACCTTTGGTGTGTCTCAGCAGCTGAAGTGAGCCCAGCTGTACATCAGCAATCTGTTGGC